AAATTACACAACATCACAATTCAAGATACCAGCTTCCATCAAAAGTCATTCACTGACCATTCAGCTACAGGTTTAAGATCTACCTCCCAACAGCTGTCTTTCCTAACTCAAAACCAGTGAGAACCAAACTTAGCAGTACGTCAAGTTACATCCTCCCTAGTTTGTTCCACAGTCCTGAACCACATCTCCTGCCCTTCCCTAACCTTATACACCATATGCTTATCTAACTCCTGCCAATACTCAAACATTGGGTGTAGTACCCAAACATTGTGTACAGGCCTTAAGATGCTTTGTTTTTTGCTTTGTTTTTTGGTGGGTTGAATTCGTTATTAAACAGACTAAGATATTGTATTAGAATCCCACAAATGAGTATTGCTTAACCTGGAAATGTATTATAAGAGTACTTCAAAAACCTCAAGGGCAATTTAAATTAAAAGATAAATTTGTTTTGATGTCAAAAAATGTGAAAGTTATGCATGGGTTTTTTAATAGCACATTTCCCATACGCTTTTTTTTTTTTAGTTGCAGTAAAAACATACTATTTCCTCACACGTGATGAATATATCCATCCAGTATGTGATCCTCCTGCACATCTGATCACAAATGATTTCCAAAAGTTATTTTAGGTGAGATAAGAAAAAGTACTTTAGAGAGCTAATATTCTGAAGGCACTGGATGGGTCACAGTAGAAATTGCTATAGCCACATAAGTTCTATAAATGTAGACCTTTGGTGAGCTGCTATTCTTAGATCTACTGTTTTCAAGTGAATAGATTGCAGCAACATCAACTGGTACACCCAAAGAAATCACCTTAGTGTTTCTAGCAATCGAACCCCTAGTCCACATCAGTTGGTATTGTGCAGAGTCACATGGTGGCCGCAAAGCATTCACAACAGCTTTGGCTGCCCTCGGATCATACTGGAAGGGACCCTCAGAGAGTCGTATTCACGAGACCGATTCCTCTTCCATTCACTTTCCTAGTCAACTACAGTTATCCAACAGTCCTGAGTGCTTTTAATGACATCATCTGCAAAGTCTCTATCTTTAAATTCTGCATACAAAGTAAATTCATTTTCTGATTTCCCATCAGGAAACTTGTATCTTGTAAAACCAGTCCCCTGAGGCTCAAAGGTAGCCACAATTCATCCATCTGACAGCGTGAATATTATTATCACAATTTGCCAAAGATCATCCATGTTAATGGACATGACTTTCCAGGTTCACCCTATATCAATCATAGCCACTCTACCCAGACCTGTCACCTGGATTGTTTCACCATTTGCATACACTTTACTTCCGATTCGATCATTGTCATCACAATAGCCAGCATGTGCTTGTCATTGTGTTCTAGGTCTTCCCAACTCTAAGGAATGCCATCATAGCTCCATATGTATCCCTTGTAAAGGAACAAATTGGCCATGTAGTAGAACTGCCCTTTCTTTACTTCTTGCTTAATCAAAATTAAAGGATCCTTTGCAGCAATCTCCATTTTTTTTTTCATTAGTCCAGCCTGATTCTTCAACCACCAAGTGGGACACATCCACATCAGCCTATATAGGAATATCATAAAGTGGAGATACATATTGTCCTTTTTCATTCTCGAGGACACAGTACTCTAGGGAGAAGGACCCGGTGTGCTCCTGGCTATAGATGCCACTCATAGAGTAGCAGACTGCTCACCACCACAGCTGCAGAGCCAATTGTCAACTCCCACATGGTGCAGACCAGTAAGAAGAGGCCACACCTGTGCACTGCAAAGATGAGCCCCCATGAACTTCTTGAACATCCCACATTTTGTAATAACAGGCCAGCAGCTGATGGGGGCCCTTCTGTTTATTACCATTAAACCCAGTTTTCATTTCTACATTCAAGAATTCACAATGTTAATAGCAATAGAACTTGAGTTCTACAATATCTAAATGGACAGCGTTTAGTAGGAAAAAATCATCAAGGATGTTGAATTAAATACCCCAAATCAAACCTATCTCTGTGTACTTCCCAAAAGAATTCTGTGATCTAAAGTGTTTTCAAGTTGCTCTGAGCATTTCTGATGCTGCCACTTGGGGTAGAAAAATACAGATTCTCAACACAGTAAAACAGGGAGGAGTTAACAAAGAAAAGTAGATCCAAAGTAGTGTAAATGATCTACCATACCATAAATCGCAGCCAAGAGTTTGTACTCAGAATTTTGCTACTGTTTGGGCAGAAAGCAGATTGATGTTTCAGTTCAGCTCCTGATGTGTTGTATGATGGGATTGTTTCAGCTTGAAAATACTTTTCCAGACTGTTTCCAGTGCACAAAGGTAGAAAATACTTTAACAGACCATTTCACCATGCAGACTCAATCTCTGTTGGATGGGGGAGGAGGGAAGCTGGGTTGTGGAGAGGCAGTGAGAGACAGGTCTCTCCAAGGCAGGCAGGGAGGCCCGGTGAGAACAGTGGTAGCCTTCTACAGTGACCAAAGACCTGGGAAAGCTGTGTGTCACAAGGAACTTGTCCCAGTGGCGGAGCAATCATACAGGGCCACATTGGGTATGGGTTATTACCCCTCTCATCTCCAGATAGACGATAATGAATTCCTAAGCCAGGAGATACAGCTATAACATTTCTTCTGTGATAAACTTACTACGAACACAAATGAGAGGGCTTTCAGTCCCAGGATGGGCAGCAAGTGGGAGCACCGGGAGCACACAGAGCAAGCTGCTCAGCTCGCAGAGGTAAAGTTCCTTTGTGAAGTGGCAGGAAGAGTCCTCTTCCAGAACTGACTTTCAACAAGGTCTTTCAAAAGCAAAGTAATTTCTGAACATTTCTATAGGGAAAAACTTATGCTGACAAGCAGTAGAATGTTATTTTCATCAAGAGTTCCTCTAAACACTCAATGGGTCCTTCCAACAATAGGTTTCTTGTGCTAATCCTTGGCATCAAGCACCGGACAGGGGAAGGTTTATTATTGTTGTTGTTGTTGTTAACTCTGTTGTTAAAACACACGCTCACACAAGTATGCATGTACATATTACTGCTATCCCAACCCATTCTATTTGTCCACAGATAAAAACGATTGAGGCATCAAATGTTAACATAAGATATATGACCATAGGGCCAGCGCAGCGTCTCAGCTGATTAATCCTTTGCCAGCAAGCACCAGTGTTCCACAAGGGGTTTGTTCATGTCCCAGATGCTCCATTTCTCACCCAGCCTCCTTTTGGTGGGCCTGGAAAAGCAGTGGAAGATAGTCCAAAGCTTTGGGACCCTGTTTCCACATAGGAGACCCAGGACAAATTCCTGGCTCCTGGCTTCAAACTGGCCCATCTCCAGGCATTATGGCCATTTGGGGAGCGAACCAATGGAAGGAAGATTTTGCTCTGTCTCTCCTCTTCTCTGTAAATCTGCCTTCCCAATTAAAAGTAAATATATTTAAAGATGTCTTTGACCATTTGGGCATAGATTGTAAATCCTAAACTAGATGATAAATAAAAATGTAAATGGCTTCATGACAAAGACTCATTTCTGAAAACTTCTGTATTGGATCTGTTATGGCTTCAAACACTGTCACTGAAGTCAGTGGGGTATCATTTAGAGTGTATAGTGCATCTCAGCAGTGTTTTCTGACAGCATGTTTCCTTAAAGCAAGCTGAAGCTGTGTGGGGGCAAAGGAGAGAGTGACTTCCTGCCAGTGTTGAAGACACCTGCCTACCACACAGAGTAACCAATAAGCCCACCACTGCCTCCTTCCTCTTTCCTTTCTCCTTCAGAGGTCCTCTCTGCAGCCTAACAAACACCTCCCAGAAAAGCGCTCAGCTGCCCACACTCTATCAGTTGCCCGCCACCATGCTTGCAGCCACACATGCCCTCCTGGCTCTTGCCTGGACAACTGACACTTGCCATCAAACACAAATGGATACCACCACAACAAGCCCTCCCTTCCAGAGCATCCTGTTCACCAAGCTGAAATGTGTGACAGCCCCACCCCACAGATGCACCAGTACTCAGATGCTTGGCCATTGAGTAAACGACACTTGTGCTTCGAGTGTTCTCAACAGAGCTCCCACTCTGAGCTCTTCCTCAGCTGATGAGAGCCTTCTGCCTGCACTCTGCAAATCCCATCTTCCAAGATTCCCTTTGAGCAAGCTGGCTGAGATCTCTGCCTCTCATCTCTGTGAACGCTAGCTGTTGACAGAGGGCAAGCTGTTTTTGTGTGATTCAAAGCATTACTAATTAAAACCTGTTACCTTCCTAAGGGCAGATATATTCTCCTCCTGAGCAGCATTTGTCTGTCCCATTAGCATTAATGGGAGGAACACAAGTGCATCAAGAGGAGAATGGTCCCCTTGGGTCTTTGAACTTAAGTCTACTTCAAAACTGAAACCGATATATGCAATGGTATCATTGATGCCATTAAAAATCATTATACTTTACTGCAACTTTTATAAAAGTAATTGTAAGCTTCATGAAATATACGCGGCTCCTGGGAGCTGTGCATTACTAGGCTGAGACTGGACATGATAAAGCGAATTACACTATAATACTTGAAAAATATTTTGACCATGGGAATTCACTGGATCCGGTTGAACTTATGTAAAGGTCTGTGTTCATAAAAGACAATGCATCTGGGTAAGCTGGGAAAGCATGTGGAATTCCACAACATAAATTCTAGAAAAGATCTGAGGAAGAGTGAGTGTGGGTGACTCTGTTGACAGCATGTCTTAATAGGTTGTTGTGAAACACCACCGTAACACCCTTCATTTGCATGGTCTTGAGTGCTTTACAGGAACAGTATAGCTGATGTTCTAATTACTTTAACAGGAGAAAGCACACAGACTTTGCCCCCACCACCAGATGCTGAGGCTAAGGCCTAGAGAAGCCATGCTGTGGTTGAGAAGAGCGATAACCACAAAGGAAGGGCATGAGTGTGGACAACACTCACCTAAAGCATGTCTGTGGTTATCTGTAGTTAACATGCCATCAGTTTCCAAACTGGAGGTCTTTTTTTGCAGTAAGAGCTGCAGTGTCTACTGTTCCAGGAGTCAGCTGAGTGTGATAGCCTGGATTTGTGATTTCATTAGCCAGGTGACCATGAGCAAATTGGACAATTTCCCCACAGGTAGTGTGAGAAGTGACCCACACCCACCATTTTAAGCCCGATGCCATTTTACCTTACCCAAGTTCAGTCTTCTTCAGGATTTACTATTTCCCACACCTGCCTCATGCCCATTTTGTTTAAAATTTGCTCTCTGCTGGGCCCGGCACAGTAACCTAGTGGCTAAAGTCCTCACCTTGCATGCACCGGGATCCCGTATGGGTATTTGTATGCTGGCTGCTTTGCTTCCCATGCAGCTCTCTGTTTGTGGCCTGGAAAGGCAGTCAAGGACAGCCCAAAGCCTTGGGACCCTGTACCCACATGGGAGACCCAGAGGAGGCTCAAGGCTCCTGGCTTCAGATCAGCTCAGCTCTGGCCATTGTGGCTGTTTGGGGAGTGAATCAATAGAAGCAAGATCTTCCTCTCTGTCTCTCCTATTGTTTGTATATCTGACTTTCCAATGAAAATAAAACAAATCTTTACAAAACTTTCCTCCCTGCCAATCAACTACAACCCTATAAGCTCTCATTCCCCATCCTCTGAGGTTACCACCTCCAGCAACCATGGGCTGACTACCTGCACTGACCTATTCCGTAGGCTAGCAAGTCTGCCAATCTCCCGTGTCTTTCCCCTACACACCCACTCTGTTCCCCACCCTCTGCCCCAGCCACACTCTCTCTTCCTTTGCTAGCTGCTGCACAGCTGCTTCTTACCAAGCTGATTAAAGGACCTCCTGCATGACTCGCTGTGTCTGCTGCTCTGAGTTTAGGCCGGCTATTGAGAAGAGCTGATGAAAAGAGCTTACAGATAGAGGCTTCAAAGTTCCTACCTTGTCGGGTTACTTTAAAGATTAAAAGCCTAATACACACAAACCTCTTTGACTAGTGCCTCACATACAGTAAGCACGCAACAAATGTTAGTCACCATTATTAACCTTTCAGACAGCGAGGGCCATGTTATCCACAGAGAAAGAGTGCACGGGCAAAGTTGGTTGGCACAGTGAACTACATTCCTTCCTGCTAAACCCTCCGAAGTCTGTTCCATCTTATTCCCCTGTGTCATTAAGGTCCCTTGGGCGTAGAACTTTAGGTTCTCCAAGTAATATAAGTCACCGGGGTACAACGTCATGTACCATTACAAGTGTCTGGCATGCATGCCACAAGGCTACCCAAATTCATCATGCCCTGTCCTGAGGAAGGAGTTTAAACCTGTGTTCCCTGGACCTCCAAAGAAGGTGTGAATGAAAAGCCATCACTGGCAACTACATCCCAGCCTACAGCCAGCTCAGATCTGTGAATTCTACCTGCTGGCTTATCAGTAACTAGCCACCAGTCCTCTTACTAGCAAGTCAGGTCTGCAATTGTTAAGTACATGCATCTTGCTTGACTCAGGAACTCCAGCGGTCTGAGGACTTTTTATAAAAGACTATTCCATCAGGGCTCTGAATGTGCTATGGGCTGGAAGATCTGCAGTGCCAGAAATGTCTGTTCCATCCTCCTGTCTGCATGCTTGGTTGCCTTGCCAGTCATGGGATAGATGGGGAAGACAGCACCTAATGAGACCTCTCTGTGCCAATTACAAAACCCCCTTAAGTTCAATCTGCTGGCGCCTCCCCTCTCTGATCCCATGACGCCCTTTCATACTCACTCTTAGTGCATCTCAGATTTTACCAAAATTTATCTCTGGTTTTCTCCACCAGATTGTCTCTACTTCTAGAGGGAAAACACCATATTTATCCATATTTATCTTTTTGCTAATTTGGGACCAGTATCGGTGGACACCCAAATACATACTAAATATAAAACTCCTAGGCAAAGGCATTGATCAAATCATGTCCTGGAACTGGAATTAGCAAAGCACTCCCAGAGTTCTCTATTCAAGTTCAGCCACTTAAGTCTGTCTGAGCTTTCAAGCAATTAGATCAATGCTAAATAAGACCTTTTATTCTGATTTTTAAGTGCCAGTAATAATAAACTAAGCCTGTATTTGATTTTTAAGTGTGATGAAAGTAAAATGAAACCACCAGCTCAATTTTGTAGATTATTTTCACAACTTTTGGATGTGAGCAAACTAACAAAAACCATGGTCCCCCGGAAAGCTTAACCAAGTGTTCAAACCCACTGGCTTAATAAGTTTTTTTACATATATATTTAGCATCTCAATAAACCTTATCAACCCTCTTTCATTCCGCTGGCAATTTTTCTGACCTCCAAGTTGAAAACTTGAGCCCTGAATTCTGCTCATGGGTGAGTAATCACAGCAAGCCCGTAGCAGAACCTATCCCCGAACTACAAATATATCATCTTCAGCATTGTAAATCAAAGCCTCAAAGAGCATCATTTAGCCTGCAGCTAAAATTGCTTGTTTATCAGATGGTGCCTGGTTTAGCGTGGAGCCATCCCTTGTAAATCTCCGGGACCTTTTACAGCATATACTTAAGCAAGCACATTGGCTCCTGGGAGGTTTTCTGAGGGTTTTAATGACTGTGGGCTGCTAAAAGAGCCAGGCCTTGGTTTAAGCTAAAGTGGCTACGGGTACAGTTTGGCTCCATTTTGTAAACTCACAAAGATAAGGTGTCTGCTTTCTCCTAAGTGAGAGGGAGCATTTGTTTCTCCGGGAATCTTTCTATCCAAAGTGTTAATGTTCTTGTGGCTTTGGCTATTTTGACCTTTTGTCTGCTTGCTTTTGATTTACTGAGGGAGAGAGGTCTTTCTCCAGGCTTTATTGCTACTCTGGAAAGACAACGAAATGCATGTGATTGCAAAATTGCACAGGGGGGAAAAATGGTTTGGGGTGAACACTGGACATGTCACCCACGATCCTAATGCCATCCAACTGCCCCTGCCAAACGCAGCCCTCGTAACCCCTCGTAGTTCTAAGTAAGGGTAAATAGATGCCCAAGATTCCTCAATGGGGCATCAACAGTGCCGTGTAGACCCTGCTGGCAGCTCACTCACCTTGGTCCTTGGCTTTTCAGAAAGAAATCAGTTTATAGATTCTGACCATGTAGCTCAAAGTAGCAAAGGGAAATGGTCCACCAAATTCCCACTGGTTGCAAATACAGAGCTACTTGCTAAAGTCATGAATATCTTATCGACTGACTGGACCACCGAGGACCCAAGCAGCCCACCAATGGCGGTGCTGATGGACAATGGAAGAGCCCTGATGAAATTTACTAATTAAAGAAATCTTTTCACGGCTGTTTACTGTATACCATCTCCTGGATACAAGTTAATTAAAGAACTCTTCCAAACCTTCACCTGATGGGGGGGAAGCTTCCCCCAGGAGCTCGAGGAGCTGCAAAGCACCTTCCAGGGGCTCTTTTCTTATTTTCAGGCCCTAATAAATTGTTTTTATGCTAATTGCAGTGCTACTATGGTCTGGGTTGTGAAAATCAGCCTCTTTTCCTCCTACTATGCCCCCTTCTTTATTAACCCAAAGCTTTCTTGGTTTCACCTTTACCTCTATGCAGGGGAAAGAAGCTTCTGTTTGGGGCTTTTCTATTTAATTTTGGTTTGCTGGTTGCTTTGCCATTCTCCAATGCAGCCCTTTACCTAAACTGTTCCCCACTTGTGAGGTTTTGTTGAAGGGCACTCAAGCTGGGGATTCCTGAGGATACGTCTACCAGGGTTGTCATAAAAGCTAAAAATATGTGCACCTGTTGCAAACTGCTAAAACTACAACAAGCTGGCATAACACCCAGGAAATAAAAGCAGAAGTGACTCATATGCTTCCTGAAAATAGACTTCATATATTTACTCCTCCAGGTCTGAAGCTGTTTGTGATACTCAAAGCAAATTAGAAGGGAGATGGTGCTGGGGAGTCCCTGAACAAGTAAGCACGCACACACAGAGAGAGAGAAAGAACGAGAGAGAGAGACAGACAGACAGGGGAGGGAGGAAGAGGGACTGTCTCTCTTCCCTTTTATACCTGGTAACGGAAGCAGCTTATCAGAATATGGATAACTTACCATACTTACTCTTAACCCCATGCAAGAAATCTTTATTGAGCATCTCTAATGCATGGTGCTGAATCCTGGCACAAAATTTCCCTGTCCTTGGTGAAGCATGTAAATTAGCAAGGAAAGGCATCCATTAAACACTTTAAAAATACAAACTTGGAACATGATCAAGAGCTACAGAGGAGTAAAACAGAAAAATGTAAAATCTGCATCACAGAAAGATTCTACCTAGTTGGAAAAGTCAAGAAAATCTCCCCTGGCCCAGCATGGTAGCCTAGCAGCTAAAGTCCTCGCCTTAAACACGCCAGGATCCAATATGTATACTGGTTCTAATCCCAGTACCCCTGCTTCCCATCCAGCTCCCTGCCTGTGGCCTGGGAAGGCAACTGAGGATGCCACAAAACCTTGGAACCCTGCACCAATGTGGGAGATCCAGAGGAGACTCCAGGCTCCAGGCTTCGGATCAGCATAGCTCTAGCTTTTGCGATCACTTGGGGAGTGAATCATTGGACAGAAGATCTTCTTCCTCTGTCTCTCCTCCTCTCTGTATATCTGCTGTTCCAATAAAGATAAAATAAATATTTAAAAAAGAAAAGAAAAGCCCTCCTAAGAAAAGGGCATTGAGGTCAGAAGCTTAAGTCGAAGTTATCTACACAAAAGAGAGGTGGAACATTTCTAATGGAGGAAATGGCATGCGAAAAGCTCCAGTGGCACCTGTCAGTTCATATTCAAGGCTTCTCTTTTTATTTCATGAGAAATGGAAAGGATTCTAGGCAAGGGCTAATGCAATCAAGGAAAGACTCCAAAAGCATCGTGATGACTGCAGGGTAAAGCAGAGATGTGGAACATCCAAGAATCACCACATGGATGAGTTAAGAGAGAGTTGCAAAAACTTGAACAAGAGATGGTAAGAAAACAAGGGCAAAGGTAATATTGGTGGAAATTCTGGGGAAAGTAACACATTTGAGAAACATCTGGAAGTTAAGGCAACAGGATCTGGTGATTTAGACACTGTAGTAGCAGAAGAAGTAGGTGTTAAAAATTATTCCTAGGGTCTGGCACCATGGCATACTAGACTAAGTCACCTCCAAAGCACCAACTCTCCATATGGGTTCCAGTTTGAGTCCCACTGCTCCATTTCTATATGAGTTCCTGCAAAAGCCTGAGAAAACGATGGAAGATAGCTCAAGTCCTTGAGCCCCTGCACCCATGTGGGAGGCCTGGAGGAAATTCCTGGCTTCTGGCTTTGGATCAGCTCAGCTCCAGCTGTTGTGGCCATTTAGGGAATGAACCAGCTGATGGAAATCCTCTTTCTCTGTGTCACCTTCTCTCTGTAACTTTGCCTTTAAAGTAGAAATATATTTTTTAAAACAAATTACTTCTAGACTTCTGTTGTGCATAATTCAATAGCTGATGATATCATTTGATATTCTAGGAGAAATTGAACACAGGAACAGTCTTGGGAACAGAAAAGTTTGGGAGCTAATGCTTTTTTATTATTTAAAGATTTATTTATTTTTGTTGGAAAGGCAGATTTTACAGGAAAAAAGAGAGAAAGAGACAAAGATCTTCCATATGCTGGTTCATTCCCCAAATGGCCTCATCAGTCGGAGCTAAGCCGATCCAAAACCAGGAGCCAGGAGCCAGAGGCTTCATTCGGGTCTCCCACGTGGGTGCAGGGTCCCAAGGCCTTGGGCCGTCCTTGACTACTTTTCCAGACCACAAGCAGGGGACTGGATGGGAAGTGAAACAGCTGGGACACAAACCAGTGCCCATGTGGGATTCTGGCACTTTGCAAGGTAGGGAATAGCTGACTGAGCCACTCTGCCAACCCACTACCTCCATTTTTTAAAGATTTATTTGTTTTTATTAGAAAGGCAGACTTTACAAAGAGGAGAGAGAGAGGTTGCTGATGATTTTGAAGTGACTCCAAAACAACCAGAGATACAGGTGGGCAACTAAACAAATGGGCAAGGGTTTCTCAAGGTCCTCAGAGCTGGAGACACCGTGAGACATCTGGGTAGCATCAACCACTGAAGTTGCATGTAGTGCAGTATGCCACATATAGTATGACCACAAACTCAGTGGATTAAAATAACAGAAACATATTGTCTTATACTTTTGGAGGCTCAAAGTCCAAAGTCAAGGTACAGGAGAGTCATCCCCCATCTGAAGGCTCTAGGAGGATGCCCATCCCTCCTCCCAGTTTTGGAAGCAGCTACATGTCTCAGCTTGTGGCTGCATCACTCCAATCTTTGTCATCTTCCCATCACCTTCTCTCCTGCGTGTCCCTTCTTCTGTCTCTGTCTCTTATTGGATACTCACTGTGTTTAGGGCCTATCCATCTGTTCCAGAATGGATTCACCGACAGATTCCTTTAATATCAATTATATCTGCCACAAGCCTTTTCCTCCATAGGTCCCAGGAATTAGGATCGGGACTTGGGTTTTGGAGAGTCCCCATTCAGCTCATGCCATATGTATGAGATCATCTAAAACAGTACAGAGTGAGAAGACAAAAGGGCCGATGATCATGCCTAGAGGAACCCCAATACTGATTTAGTGTGCCATGTGGAACCCCAACACACAGGAACCGAGAACAATGACTAAAAGGTTTCTCGGAAATCCGCGGTTATTATCAATTAGAAACTCAATTTCTTATCCACTCATCACCCTCTTTACTGTCTTGCTTGTACACTCTCCTGCAATCTCTTTTATCAGAATCTTGTGCCTGGTGTCCTTAACATACACTCAGTGCTTTGATTCACTGGTGATATTCTACAGGCTTTCATCTTAACATGTTCCATGAAACTGGCTTTGTGTATCCCAAGAACGAAAAGCTACTGTCCCATATTGAAGGGTTATCAAACAGCAGAGAAGGGGCAAGCATTCACAGGTAGTTCCAGGTCCAGAGGAGGGATGTCCACGGCGCCTCCATGCTGGAAACCCTAACCACCCTAATCCTGCTCCAAGCCCACAGCTCTTTTCTCCTAGCTTCCAGCCTCTGGATGATTGGCACCAATCCACATTAGAAACAGCACCCTTCAGAAACCCGGAGACCAGCTAGTTTGCCACTTCCCTTCATAAGAGTCTACTTGAAACTATCCCCTAAGGTTTAAAGAAAAACAGTGCCAATTCTGGTCCAGGCATTAAAGAAACCAGGTCTGTGCCTGTGTGCGTCCAGCTATGCTGGAAGTTCAGTTTCTCCCAACACTACTCTCTAGCAGGTAGCTGCGGCAGCATCTTTGAATAAGACAATGACACATTTGATACATAAAATGTAATTTGACTTCCTTTCATTAACAAACCCTTTTGCAGTAAGCAAATCTCATAGCTCAGAAAAATGCAGATGAATTGCCTATCTGCCTGGGGCTTAAATAAATCTACACTGTCTCCTTCAGCAAGAGGGGATAAGAATTGATGGTCATGAAGTGATACAAGATTAGTAGCACATTATAAATAAAGCTAACACTTTTTCATCATATAGGTTAAAAATCAGGAGGGAAGACACAGGAAGATGGTTTCTGCTGGCCTCAGAGCAATCAGATGTAGATGCTAAAAGGCAAGCACATCATCTTAGCTGATTGTACCCAAAAGGCAATAAGGACAGGCAATTGTGAGTGGGTTGTCAGGGCCTGCCATTGAGTTATGTTAACAGAATCTAGATGTCTGCAAGGACTGTCTTACTGAAGTTAGGTCAGACTATAGGGAATGGCCTACTAAGAGTACAAATGAGGTTGTATGCTAGTGAGAATGAATTCAGACCCACTTCAATTATGTCCATTCCCTGCTATTGTTCTCATTCATACAGACATATCTGCTGAATGCCTACTGTGCTCCTCATGCCATTCTACTCCCTGGGCAAGAGTGCACAGAAAACACCTGGAGCTTTTGAAATAAAGGGAGTTTAGAAACATGGGCTCTGCTGTGAAAAGCATGAAACTTCACCCAAAATAGCAAAGTCAAGAAATTCTAGATTCTGGGAAGTTGTTGTATAAGATCTTTTACTAGTTAAAATAAACACACACACACACACACACACACACACACACACACACACACCTAAAGGTGGGACTGGGAGAAGAAGGAAGAGAAGTGTAGGTTCAACATCAGTTGTGTTCCTGATTTTGTCCCTTGTCAGTCAGAGGAGCTCATACCTCCACGACTTCTCAATAACCACTGCCCTGCACCCCACCCCATGATGATGTCTAGGCTAGCTCTAATCTTGGGAAATAAGGGTACAGGATTATATGGCTTCCAATGACATGGACAAACTGCAGCTTTTCTTAAAAGATCCCAAGCCAGACTAAAATGGGAAGATTGGCATAATTAGATGTAGTAGATTTGGAAGTGTAGGATGCTTAGTATCTCAAGGAGGTTCACACCTTCTTCCAGCCCCCCATGTACTCAGAGTTCTCCCTTTAAAAGTCCAAGTCAGGATCCTGCCTCCCAATCCTTGTAACTATACCCTGTACCCTCTGATGTGTTTGCATTTCCTTCACTCCAGAGAACTATTCCTGCGCTTTCTCACCTGGTCCTATGGATCTTCTTCTCACTTTTGGCATACCCACTCTCCCACTGGCTTCTGATACTTTCCATGTGTTGCGGCTTTGGCCTGGGACCCACCTCCCCTTACTACCTTCCCCCTAACAGAACCCTTCACCAAACATCATTCCAGTTCTTCTTCCTCATCCAAACCAGCACAAATCCCTTTACCCTCACTTTCTCCCATCTCTCCAACAGTCTTCCCTCACTTCACTCATTCCACTATTCATCGTCCACTAGACTAGAAGTTCCATGAAGCGATGGTCCAACAAGCTCAGTGCCTGATCCAGGACGGCTACACAAAGATTTGTGAAATGGAGTTGAAATTGAAATTTTCCTCTCCTTTTTATACTCTCAGGAAACACTATTAGTCCTATTACAACACACATACATGTGAGTGTATTGTGGCCTCCTTGTCTTTCTCCTTCACTCAAGAGTTTGCCTTTTAAATTTTTTTTAAAGATGTACCTATTTGAAAGTAAAGCTGACACAGAAAAAGGAAGAGACACAAAGAGAGTCTCTCATTTCTTAGCTCACTCCCTAAATGCCCACAACAGCTGGATCAAGCCTAGGTCAAAGCCAGGAGACAGAAATTCCATCTGCACCTTGCACATGGGTGACCAGGACATGAGTTCCTGGGGCCGCCATCTACTGCCTCCGCAGCACATTAGCAAGAAGCTGAATCAGAAGCACAGTTTCTGGACTCAAGCCATGTACTCCCATGTAAGATATATAGGCACCCCAAATGACAGCTTATCCTGCCACACCACAACACCTCCCCTCCATCCTTCATTTTTGTGTCTTCCCCTGCCCCAGGAGTGGCAGAATGGAGTAGATCAAGAGACTCTAACATCAGTTCTTTAGAACAGTGTTACATTTTAATTTGAAACTTTAAAACTATAATTCATCCTATTTGGGTTCAGGAATCTTACTGAACTTACCAAACGAAGCAAGTCAAACATAAGACACTTCTGAAGTCACTGCATCCCCAAACTGGCAGCATTTTCCTCAACAGTGCTGGCCTCTAAGTGTGGACAGCAGCCCAACAGCAGAGTCACACCGGATTCACATATTTATCATACTAAATGGAAGGCCTGCTGCTGTTGCTGTGTTTGAATTTTTATTCATCTGAGATATTTACGAAAAGCACATAGGCAACAGGAAGGCTTCTTGGACACCTGCTCTGTAGCTATTTTCACCTATATAGGTATGAAACACACACACACACACACACACACACACACACACACACACACACGACAAATGGTCTCTCCAAAATATGTAATAAGCCTAGGAGCCAGGACCAAGCAACAGTGACCTTGAGAAGCATTTACAACATTTGTGCAGGGACCAGCCATTTTCTGAGTTGTTAATGTGACTCTGTGACAACTCTGAGGAAATGAAAGCAATCCCCTTGGCCCTCAACAAGCTTTCCACAGTGGGTTTCAGCCAGGCAACTGCAGCTACTCTGTGCATAGCTCAGTTCAAGGGAAGCAAATGCAAGACCCTGTCCTCTGCACCACTCACCATCACAGAATGAATTTGCTGACCTTTCCAATGTTGATCTCATTTAATTTTTAAAGTTAGCTTTGTCAAAGCTTTATTTACTGTCTTAAGATTTATATTATATTCATATTGAGTACAATGTGAAATACAGCTATTTTGACAATGACATGCATGTAGAACACCTGAAAGTTACATTGATTAGTGGTGGCAATAGAAAAG